TGCGATCCTGGCAAATGAGCAGGGAGGGGATAGAGCAAGTGGAGTATGTTAAAGTAAGAGAACAGAAGGCATCTTGCCATATTGAATATGTGGGATAAAAAACGAGGAAAAGGCAATGAATACAGAAAATGAAGGCTAGAAAGGGTTTCAGAGATCGTTTAGCTCCACCCCGAATGTTCTTGTTGAGAACCTAAGGCCCAGAGAGAGAAGCAGAGATTAGTCACACAGCGAGTTAGCAGCTGAGTCCGGGGCCACACAGATCACTGGGTGCAGACCTTGCTGTTTCCCTTACATTAACCTGACCTCGGAAATCTGAGCTCTCACTTCCAATCCGGGAAACATCTAACTCACAGAAACTGGCTGGAAATGAGAATCCGCTCTCATCCACAGCTTTAAGAGAAAAAAAAAAACTAAACGGAAAACATTTCGCTGCATGACTTTTTCTCTCCACTCACATATGTTTTCCTCCTCTGACCTGCAAGCAGTTTCATAAAACTACAGGGAGTTTTGTGGTGTAAGCCCACATGGTCCCTGCAGGAGCAAAGGTCACATTAGAACTACAACACCTACATCTATCTAGTGAAAATAGCTTAGATAATCATGTTGGGGGGAGGAAGCAAGTTGCATGATGAAATAATTTTGTTTTAAGTTTCAAAAATCTTCAAACTAATTTTTTTGGAATGAATATGTAATAAAAGCACAAAACCACTGAATTCATGAACATGGCTGGCTTTGGGGAGAGAGAGGGAGGAATGTGACTGGGAAGAAATGCCAGGGGCCCTAACTGTATCTGTAACATTTTGTTTTTGTTATTTGGTTGGTTGGTTGGTTGGTTTGTTTGTTTGTTTGTTTCAAAAAGTAAGAGGAAGAGAAAGCAGTCCTGAAGCTAATATGGCAGGAGGTTGAAATTGACTAAAGCTAGGTGGGCTTATTCGAAGCGTCTCTATTACCCGTATGCTCAGAATGCCTCCCAAGTGTTCTCAGGTTCAAATGTGAAGCATCGTTTACTATTATCGGCATTCACCTTCAATCTCCTATTATACTGATTATTACTATTTACCAAGAAGTTCGAAAGGAAAGTTACATAGGCAAATGGGTCTCCCCCACATCCACAGTGTAAGGGTGTAGGTCTGCCAAATTTCTTCAAGAATGTGTTGAAGATAAGGGGAAAGTACTGGAAGCTTTTATTTTTATTTATTTATTTATTTATTTATTTTTGGTATTTGCCCCTAGCGAGAACCGAACCCAGGACTCCCTGGTCCGCAGGCCAATGCTCCAACCGCTGAGCCAGTTGGCCAGGGCTAAATATTGTTTTGTTTTGTTTTTACAATCCTCACCCAAGGAGGACATTTTTCCATTTTTTGTTCAGACAGAGTAGGAGGGAAAGAGAGGGGGAGAGAGAGAGAGAAACATCGACGTGAAAGGGACACATCGAGTGGCTGCCTCCCGTCGGGGAGAAATTGCAACCAAGGTACGTGCCCTTAGCGGGAACCAAACACGGGTCTCTCTCTACCGCAGGCCGATGCTCTAACTGCTGAGCCAAACCGGCCAGGGCAGTATTAGCAGCTTTTAGACCAACCAACTTTGACACGACTTGCTCTGTAACCCCAAATGAGCAACTGTAGTTTATTAAACAATGGCAAGAACATTTAAGGATCTAGGAATGATGGCAATTGACCAGAAACTCACCCTCTCACCACCTTCAATCAGGACATTTATGTAAGCAAATGAGAAACATCACAGGGAATAAACGTTGCAGGCAGCATCCGTGTGTGAGAATGTAGCATGCCTGGAGTCGTAAGAACCAACATGACTCACTGTGTCGCACAACAGCAAACCAGCTGGGCCGCTGGCCAGGCAACCGTTCTGTCAAGAACCATCTCCTTTGCTGCCTCCCTTACCCCTGAGGACTGTCATCCTCACTATTGACTCCCACTTACACAGACACAATGGCAGAAGCAGCCAAAGAAACATGAGCTCAGAATCCTAAATTAGGAATTAGGAGTCAGGAATTAGGAATCAGGAAGTCAGAAATTAGGAAGAAGGCATTAGGAAGAAGGAATGTTGGAGGGGTCCTTATTAGCTAACAATAAAACTGCCCACAACTACTGAGGGGTTATCAGAAGCCAGACCCAGTGCTAAATCCATGAGACGCATTATCTGATTTAACCCTCACAAATGCTCCATGTAATGGACACTATTGTTAGATCCAGTTTACAAACAGGAAAACTGAAGTTTGAGGAATAGAGTACAGAAATAAAATGAAGTCAGTAGAGTCAAGATGCTAAGTGACTAAAATCAAGTAGGTTGAGATATGAGGGAACAATTCTGTTCTTGTTATAATGAGCCTGGGAACCTATACCTTTGAACTTTCAGGTCTTGTGGCGGACACGGATATCCGTCCAACCTCCAGAGAACCCTCCGATTATCCCTTAAAGGACTAAGGAAAGACTGTTTACACCTCCAGGCCACCTGACACCCATTATCCAGACCACTAGTCACCTAGAGGAATGCAGACCGCTTCTTCTCAAGAATGTCCTCCTCTCTATAAGAACCCTCGGCTTGCCCTGGCCGGTTTGGCTCAGCGGTTAGAGCGTCAGACTGCGGTCCAGAGAGACCCGGGTTCGGTTCCCGCTAAGGGCACGTACTTTGGTTGCAGTTTGTCCCCGGCCCTGGTTGGGTTGTGCGGGTGGCAGCCACTCGATGTGTCCCTTTCACGTCGATGTTTCTCTCTCTCTCTCTCCCTCCCACTCTATCTGAACAAAATACGGAAAAAATGTCCTCGGGTGAAGATTGAAAAAAAAACAAACCCTCGGCTTTTCTCGCTTCTTCAGACCACTCTGGGCATTGCCTAGTTGTGTTTTCAGTTTGCAAACCCTGAGACCCTTGAATAAATCTTTATCTCTCATTTCTAGCCAAAGCCTCTTATTGCTCTATGCTCATTTGAAAGGTTCAAAGAATGGAAGAGACTTGCCCAAAGTCACACAACTGTTAAGTCGCTCCAGCGTGTGTCTCAGAGTGTGTCCCATTTTTCTAGGTTAACTAAGGGCACCTAGAAGGGGGTGTGTATATCAACTGGCCTCCAACCTACAACACTTCTATCACCCACTTAGGAAGAGGCCTTGACATGTGGGAGAACAGTATGGGAGGGTGTCATTATAAAGCCTCGATGAAATAAACAGCAAGCTGACCCTTGGTGAATAAGCAAATCCGGGATGCCAACCAATTAGTAATAGCAAAATCAGGTAAACTAATAAAATAATGGAATGATAGTGCTGAAGAACTTTGAGAATGTTTTCTTCAATAGTGGTTTCTTTGTCAGAGCTGCAGAGCTCATGTATATGAAATCTTGGCTGAAGGACAGGACTTTAAACAGAAGCAGAGCTGCTCAGTCTGAAGCGGGAGGTCAGGGAGCAGGAGCAGAGGTCCCGAGAAACCTCCACAGGCCGGGCTTACAACCCGCTCATTTCACAGATGAGCAAATGGAGGCCATAGCGATGTATTTCATGGGGATAACATTTATTGTGCTTAATTAACTGTGTACCAAATTGTTTGTTTGCTTATTTATTTACTTTAGAGAGAGAGGAAGGGAGAGGGAGAGAGATAGAAACATCGATGAGAGAGAACATCGATGAGAGAGAACATCGATTGGCTGCCTCCTGCATGCCCTCCACTGGGGATTGGGCCCACAACCTGGGCATGTGCCCTGACCAGGAATCGAACCAGCGACCTCTTGGTGCCTGGGTCGACGCTCAACCACTGAACCACTGAACCACACCGGCTGGGCTACCAGGTTGTTTTAAGTGTTTCACATGTAGTCTTAATCCCCACCACAACCCGATGAGGAAGACACAGTCGTATAAAACCTACACACGAGGAAACTGAAACACAGCGAGGTTATGAGTAAACTGCTCCTTGCAAGTCAAGGAACCGAGATCAAACCAGGCATCCCGGCCTCAGGGCCCGGCGGTTAACCCTGACGACGCTCGCCTCAGAGGTGCTGCTCGGGGGTTGTTTGCTTGTGAGTTTTAGATCTGGGGTGGCCTTAGTCTGGGAGCCTCTACCTGCTGGAACTACTTCCTGTTCACTGTGACATTGCGGAGCCCCAGTAACAGGACTCCCAGGGGAAATCATCCGTCAGAGAGAAGACAGCCTTGTTGGGGTTCTCCTGGGCGGCCCCTCCAAGGAACCCCGGCGGTGCTCCCGAAAGACATGGTATGCCAACTAGGGTTAGGAATGGTTCCTTGTGTGATGCACCTCTATCTCCCCACTGGTCCTCCCCCATCCAATCGCCCCCACCCCAAAGCCACACTCGTCTTGATAAATGCCATTGGCGAGACCACAGGGCTGTACCTCGTCCTGCTCGGAACAGAAGCAAGGAGCTTGCTTTAGGGTGACCCCATCCCAGTGTTAGCGCTGACCGCAGCCTGGGGAAGCCCCCCGGCCCGGGCCAACCCGGGATGGTGGGTCACCGATGTCAAGTCTCAGTGACGACAATCTCTAAGAGCAACACCTCGCGCAGCTTCAACCCAACGTGCCGAAAGCTATGTCGCACTGTAACAGGTAGGAAGCAGGGGACTGCCTGTTTTCCTTCGGTAACAACAACCCTGACAAAAATAGGGTTTGCGGGACGGAGGCCAAGTTTATGACCACCCCGGGCCCCAGAGGAACTCACAGCCTGCGCTTTCTTCCGGACCTAGGGGATCTTGGGAAGAAAGGAAGGAAGGGCTTAGTCACATCCCGGGAAGGGCAGCCAACAGCCCTGGCCGCTCCCAGCCCGCTCGCGGCCTCTCTTCAGGAAAAGTGGATGCGCCCGGCTTTCCACCCTCTTCACAAAGCCACAGTGCCAATGTGGACGGAGGGAGGGAGGCGGGAGCAACAGAGCACAACCATCTCCCCATCTTTGGGAGAGCGGCTTCCCCAACCCAGCAGACCTCTGAGCCTTCACTGGATCAACCACCTCAGCCAAGACATAGGCCAGGATCCCCCAGGAAACTCACCTGGACCCCAGGACAGACTCGGCTCCCTGGGGATGCAGAAGCAGCCACCCATGTGTTCACCATCCTCCCGGGCCGAGGACCCTGGGAACACCAACCAGAAGAGCACTGGGAGGGGACAGCCTCCCCACGGCGATCCTCCTCCTGCCTACTCCCTGGCACACGAGGGACCAGGGTCCCAGCTCAGTGCACAATGCAGCCTTTGATATCCTGGCTGCAGCAGGAGGCCCAGGGAGGATGGGAGGGGCTGCCCGGCCCTCAGGCCCCATAGCCCTTGCTCTGCCAGGCCTCTGCCTGGAAGCAGAGCTCCTCCCTGCTTCTCTGCAAATTGCTTCGTGCCTCTCAGGCTGTGGCACATTCCTGGCATTCTAAGGCCAAGATACACAGTTTGATTTCGGTGGGGGTGGCCAGGGCGGAGGAGGAGAGCAGAGAACATCCCAGGAACCAGGCTGCCGTCCTTGCTCCCTCGCTGACTGGCCTGCCCCCGGGAGAGGGAGTCTCTCCAGCCTCTCTCTGCAGTCACCTCCCTCAGCTGTCCGTGTGAAGCTGACGTGGGAGCCAAGGGCACCGCATCTCAGCCTCGGCAGCATCAAGAAGCCTACGCCTGCTGGGAGGGGGCAGCACCCCAGCCCCCGAGTCACCTGAGGCAGCCCAGCACCTTCCCAGTGGGAGGGCGAAGGACAAGGTGTACTAAGGCCACAAGCATGCACACAAAAACTGGTCATGCTGACCAACCCCTGCTCCATTTCGGATGGTCAGCAGAGCAGGGGCATGCCGTTGGCACAGTGTGGCTGAATCTCCGAAAACCTCCCATGACATCTCCCAAAGGAGACGGAGAAAACGTGGCTGAATGCCAGCAAGGTCAGACAGAGGCACAGGCGGTCAAAAACCACGCTCAAGGATCACTAGCTGCTTAACGTGTCTTTCGTGCCAAGAGCGAAGGTCAGCGGTGAGTGGTCAGAGTGAAGAGGGGCGGGCCGAGGGAAAGCAGGTCTCACAGCCTGCCTTGCAGGCGACCTGGAGGATGGACTTGAGGTCCCTCTCACAAGCATTTGACGGAGGGGGGTGGCTGCCTGGTGGTGTGACTCAGTGGATTGAACCTCGGCCCATGGACCTAGAGGTCCTGGTCCGATTCCTGGTCAGGGCACTTGCCCGGGTTGCAGGCTCAATCCCCAGTGGGGGGCGTGCAGGAGGCAGCCGATCGATGTTTCTCTTTCACACCAATGTTTCTATCTCTCTCTCTCCCTTCCTTTGTCTCTAAAAAGTCAATAAAAACTTATTTAAAAAAAAAAAAAAGGAGGGAGGGAGGTGACCTGGTCAAGTTAAGTTCTGGAAGGAGCACTAGGTGAGAATATGCAGGATGGTCCAAGGGTCAGTCTCCCTGGAGGGGTCAGGAGTGTCCACCACACACACCAGCTCAACCCCAGGTGACAGCACGTTGACCGTGTCTCTAAAGTTTGGCTTCAGTTTCAACGCTGACTCGTCCCGATTCCCAGTTCACTACAGACCAGGCGCTCGTTGTACATCCCTTCATCTAGATCCCACAACGTCGGCACCGCCATCTCTAGGCATACGGCAGGGAGCCAGTGACGAGAGGGCAGCACTGTCCGAGGCCCCACCACTTATGAGTGTCAGATCCAGAACGTGAGCCGGGTCTAGTTGGTTCCACGGCCCAGGACTTCACTTTTGTGATCACAGGCTCTTCTCATGACGACACTGAGGGAGGATTCGGCTGGGGCAGGGATACGGGGCAGAGGGTCTTTCTGATCACACCGCCACTGTGCAGGATGTTTAAAGCATCCACTTCCCACGACGTGCCCCTCGCCTTTTCCCTCACCAAGGCACAGTGTCGTAAGTATAAACTAAGGTGTTTTCTTGGGCCCAAGATAAAAGGGCAAGGGTCTCTTTAGAACATAGCCACTTGAAACTTGGGGAGGTACGTGAGAATAGAGAGTGACTGCTCTCTCGATGACAGCTGATTCTCAGACGTAATCACTTCTCCGGACGTGCCTGCACACCACGCTCACACAGGCACAGTAACAGAGATCGGAAACGGTAAATGATCGAGACCAACCTATGGAAGGTCATCCATCACAGACAATACCCTGAAGCAGCTGACTGAGATACACATTTTGGCAAATCTGTAATGAATGGTTCATTCTGGAAGAAGTCATTGCTTCTCTTGAAATACAAGAATCTAGTGCTGTTCTGCTCTGGGTAGCTCCGCTGAATTAACCAGAACAAAGAGCTTTCCAGTCAGAGAGAGCAAGCAGCATGTGCAAAGGCCCTGGGGCTGGACCCTGTGTGGCAGGTTAAAGGAAAAGCATGTGTGATTGGAGTCTAGGGAGGCAGGGCAAGGGTGTAGAGATGAGGTCAGAGAAAGCAGCAGGAGGTCCAATTGCGTGGGACCTTGGAGGTCATCTAAGGACTTCAGCTTTTACTCTGGCTGAGATGGGAGCCAATGGAGGACACTGAGTAGAGGTGGCACGTGATTGGCTGCTCCTTGGAGAGCGGCTCGGCTGGGATTCCAGGTATGCAGCAATTGTAACAACCAGGAGACAGATGAACAAGAGTGCTATTAATAGAAGTGGTGAGAGGGGCTTAGGTATTTCATTGACATTTGTCAGTGAAGAGGATAATAATCTTTTCGAGGGTCTCCAGAAAAACAGAACCAGTAGAATATCTAGCATCTGTGGTGCAAGAACGGCACTGCCCAGGCTGAGGAGCAGCCCCTGCCAGGCTTCAGGCAGTGAGGACGTGGGGGAATGTTCCCTGGTGTAAGACAACACATTGCGATCTGTCCTGGAAATCAGGCATCCAGACTTTCACACTAATTCAGAATATCTTCCCAAGCACTGCGTTGGGCCAACACTTCAGGGCAGACAGACATTCCTGCTGTTCAAATCCAGCCCAAGAGCAGCCTGTTTGCCCCGGGAGATTTGAAATCGAATTGTTTTCCTTGGAAAATTTCACCGTCTAGTTGGGATAATAAGATATGCTCTTGTGTACTGTGATTCAAGGGGGGGGATGGTTGTGCCCACCCCCCAAAATAATATATGGAAGACTTAACACCCAGTACCTCAGAATGGGACTTTATTTGGAAACAGGAGTGTTGTAGATGTAAGCATCGAAGTTAAAATGAATTCATACCGGAGGAGGGTAGGCTCCGCTTCCAATATGACCTCTGTCCTTCACGAACACCTGTGGAGAGAGACAGACAGGCAGAAGCCCCCTCGACAGAAGGGAGAGAGATCGCAGGGACTCGGCCCTGGGCTGCCGAGGACTGGCCAGCAAACCCGCGAAGCCAGGGGAGGCAGGGACGGAGCACAGCCACAGACGCTCCTCGACTCCGGAGGCTGAGCCCCCAGAATTATGACACAATAGAGTCTGTTGTCTTACTGCTGTCGTAAGCCGCTGCGCTTGTGTCCTATGCGAGGGCAGCCCTAGGACACCCGTGCCGACCTCCTGAGTGATAAGAACAACATGTCACCTTCTCATCCTCTACTGGGAACATGAACCTGGGAGCCATCAGTATACAGAGATGATACTGGCTCTACGAGGAGAAAGTCAGCATGTCCCAAAGGGAAAAGCAAAGAAGTCTTCCTGGAGGAGGTGGCCTGTGACTGGGGACCTCGAAGCATGGGATTTGGGCAGGCAGAGGGGAAGAGCACCCAGATGAGGAACGGCCCTGGCAAGCGAGCCGTGAGTGCCCTGGGGACGGTTAGGGGTCAGTCCGTGTGAGTGACACTGGGAGGGGCAGTGGCAGAAACGTTAGCCTCCTGGCTTCAGGTCCACTCATCACTTGCCCATTTTTCATCAAGCATTAATAAGTAATAATTAATAATGACAGTAAATGCCCACTGAGCTTTTATCATCTGCTCATGTGAAAAGTCCACATGTAACCTTCACCCACCTACTTCAGTCGGAGGACTTGCCCCAGCTCACGCAGCGGACGGGCACAGCACAGCCAGGGTTCGAGGCCGGCAGGAGGACTGCGGGGCCATGGGCCTTACCACTCTGGTCAGTGGCTGACGCTGTCAGGAAGACCAGTCCACGTCTGTGGCGCAGTGGCCCGCAGCCGCGAGAAGGTGCAGGTGACCCGGCCACGGGCGGGGTGTGCCCCAGACTTTCCTCTGCGGGGGATGGAAACATGCCCTCGCCCAGGGTCAGCTGGGGAACTGGCCCAGCAGCCGCGGGGAGGAGGTGGGGCTGCGGACCTGCTGACCTGGGAAGAGGTCACCAGGCTGCTGGCTCTGACCTCACCCAGAAGAACTGGCTGCTCTTCCCAACACGTCAGTTTCCTGTTTCTTGCTCCCACAGCAAACCTGGGGTCAAGGGCCGGCAACCAAAGCCTCAGGCTGGAAGGGTAGCTGTGAAAGTGTCCTTTACCGGTGACGTGTCCCCTCCTCTAGGCGTTGCTCTTGTCCCAACCCATTTCTGTTCATCAGAGAGTTTAATGTCAGGAAGTAGATTAGGGTTCCTGTCATCCTAACCCATCTTCTTTTTTTATCCTCACCTGAGGACATGTTTGCATTTATCTTCAGACAGAGCAGAAGGGAGAGAGGGAGGAAGAGAGAGAGAGACACATCGAGTGATGATCATCCACATGGCCCCAACCAGGGCCAGGGACAAACTGCAACCGAGGTACGTGCCCTTAGCAGGAACCAAACCCGGGTCTCTGGTCCACAGGCTGATGCTCTAACCACTGAGCATACTGGCCAGGGCATCCCAACCCATCTGAAAATAAAGAAACAGGCTCATAGAGACAAGTCATTTGTTCGACACTTGAGCAGTTTTGTGGCAAAGCCCATGTTAGAACTCAGACCTCGGCTCAGGTCAGCACGCTGCCACCAACATGCCAGTGCTCATCAGTTCATGTTCTAAAATCAGGTTCCCTGGGGAGAGGCTGGGCTCGGGCGTGTGTGTGTGTGTGTGTGTGTGTGTGTGTGTCAAGTGCAAAACACAAGCCCAGCCCAGGGCTGACTCTCCCCACCACTCCCAGGGAAAGGAATTTCTCTCAGCCCAGCTCCTCTCTCAGGGAAATTCAGGTTTTCGGGCTCCCACCCAGGGAGTGGGGCAGGAAGGAGGCCCTTCCACCCACCCAGCTCTTTGCTCTCACCTGGTTACTCTGGGCAACCAGAGTCCTGGGCAGGCGCAGGCTGGAAATC